CTGGTTGTGCTTAATTTCTGGTTATAGCCCATCTGACACTCTGCATCCAGTCATGTTCAGTAAGAACTTTCATGATTACAGCTTCACGACTTGTGCAGTTTATTGAAATACCATTGAAGATTTGGAATTGCCATTGATAAATTCTTACTGCATTAGCGCTAAAATCCCAAGCTAGCCAACAATTAATTGAGCTTATATGGAAAAAATAATTGGTAGCTCATTAAGCTTAGCTTCACCTGGACATCATCTGACCCAGTCAGAACTGCAAATCTTGCCAAAGAGGTGTCCCTGCTTTGCAGAGGAGAGAAGAGCAAGCCTGTCCTGTTGTCTGCTCTCATTCTCTGCCACCTCATTAACCCCTTCACTATATATGTCATGGTCTCAGGACTCATTACTACACCCACTTAATACGCAATGTTGTCATAATGAAATCCAGAGTTACCTGAGCTAAGACTTGGACAACAATTTTTTAAATTATATTTTTAATGTCCCTGTAGTAATTTTCTAAATCACTAAAAAGAACTCTGCCTAAGGCTTGTAGGAGCTAAACAGCCAGTCTTTCTCATCAAGCAGTACTACTGAAAGGACAAGAAATGCAGATCAGCAAAGCAGTGAATAATTAAAGTCACAGAAAGGAGGAGGCTGTTGGCTGTTTTCACAGGTATCTCACCACCCATAGAAACATTTACATGCTAAGTTACACTTGAGAAATCCTTTGCAAAGATTATTATGATAGCTATACAAAATCCCTATTTCTTTAACTGCCTTCATCATCAGCATTGAGGTAAGATTTAGAGAATCATAGAATCATAGAAGAGTTAGGGTTGGAAAGGACCTTAAGATCATCTAATTCCAACCCCCCTGCCATGGGCAGGGACACCTCACACTAAGGCTCTGTCCAACCTGGCCTTGAACACCGCCAGGGATGGAGCATTCACAACCCCCCTGGGCTACCCATTGCCAGCGCCTCACCACCCTTACAGTAAAGAACTTCTTCCTTATGTCCAATCTAAACTTCCCCTGGTTAAGTTTTAACCCGTTACCCCTTGTCCTATCACTACAGTCCTTAAGGAAGAGTCTCTCTCCAGCATCCTTGTAGGCCCCCTTCTGATCCTGGAAGGCTGCTATGAGGTTTCCATGCAGCCTTCTCTTTTCCAGGCTGAACAGCCCCAACTTCCTCAGCCTGTCTTCATACGGGAGGTGCTCCAGTCCCCTGATCATCCTCTTGACCCTCCTCTGGACTTGTTCCAACAGATCCATGTCCTTTTTATATTGAGGACGCCAGAACTGTACACAATACTCCAGGTGAGGTCTCACGAGAGCAGAGTAGAGGGGCAGGTCACCTCCCTCGACCTGCTAGTCACGCCCCTCTGGATGCAGCCCAGGGTATGGTTGGCTTTCTGGACTGCGAGCGCACACTGAAGCCGGCTCATGTTCACTTTCTTACCGAACAACACCCTCAAATGCTTCTCTGCAGGGCTGCTCTGAATCTCTTCTCTGTCCAACTTGCGGCTGTGCCTGGGATTGCTCCGACCTAGGTGTAGGACCTTGCACTTGTCATGGTTAAACTTCATAAGGCTGGTATCAGCCCACCTTACAAGCTTGTTGAGGTCCCTCTGGATGGCATTCCTTCCCTCCAGCGTATCAACCCAACCGCACTGCTTGGTGTCATCGGCAAACTTGCTGAGGGTGCACTCAATCCCACTGTCCATGTCACCAAGAAAGATGTTAAACAAGACCGGTCCCAACACCCATCCCCGTGGGACACCACTCATTACTGGTCTCCAGCCGGACATTGAGCCATTGACCACAACTCTTTGCATGCAGCCATCCAGCCAGTTCTTTATCCACTGAGTGCTCCATCCATCAAATTGATGTCCCTCCAATTTAGAGACAAGGATGTTGTGTGGGACAGTGTTGAATACTTTGCCCAAGTCCAGGTAGATGACATCAACTGCTCTACTCCTGTCCGTCAGTTCCGTAGCCCCATCATAGAAGGCCACCAAACTGGTGAGGCAGGATTTCTCCTTAGTGAAGCCATGCTGGCTGTCACCAAGCGCCTTGTTGTTTTTCATGTGCCTTAGCATGCCTTCCAGGAGAATCTGCTCCAAGATTTTGCCAGGCGCAGAGGTGAGACTGACTGTAGTTCCCTGGCTCATCCGTTTTCCCCTTCTTGGAAATGGGGGTTATATTTCCCTTTTTCCAGTCATCGGGAACTTCACCTGACTGCCATGGATTTTCAAATATGATGGACAGTGGCTTGACTTAGCAGCTTCATTTGCCAGTTCCTTTAGGACACGCGGCTGGATTTCATTGGGTCCCATGGACTTGTGCATGTTCAGGTTCTTAAGATGGTCTCGAACAACGGGGCCCAAGGTCTTCATTCTCACAGTCCCTGCATCTAACTTCCAAGACTTGGGTGGTGTGGTCAGAGCCTTTGCCAGTGAAGACTGAGGCAAAGAAGATATTAAGAACCTCAACCTTCTCCAAATCTAGGGTAGCCAGCTCTCCTGATAGCTTCCAGAGAGGGCCCGCATTGTTCCTAGTCTGTCTTTTATTTGCAGTGTAACTGTAGGATCCCTTCCTGTTATCTTTCACATCCCTAGCCAATTTTAATTCTAACTTGTCCTTAGCTTTCCTAACCTGGTCCCTAGCTTCCCGGATGACGTCCCTGTATTCTTCCCAGGCCGCCTGTCCTTGCTTCCACCTCTTATAAGCCTCTTTTTTCCCTTAAAGTTTCCTCAGCAGCTCCTTATCCATCCAAGGAGGTCTCCTGGCCCTCCTGCTGCACTTCCTTCTAGTTGGGACTCAACACTCCTGAGCTTGTAGCAGGTGATCCTTGAATCTTGGGCCCCTCCAGGGTTGTATCCCATGGAACCTTACTAAGCGGGTTCGTGGAGAGGCCAAAGTCTGCTCTTCTGAAGTCCAGAGCAGTGAGCTTGCTGCACGCTCTTCTCGCTGTCCTGAGGATCCCGAGCCCAACCATCTCATGGTCGCTACAACCAAGGCTGCCCTGGAGTGTCACATTTCCAACCAGCCCTTCCCTGTTGGTGAGCAGGAGGTCAAGCATGGCACCTCTCCTTGTTGGCTCCTTTATTACTTGCAGAAGGAAGTTGACTTCCACACAGTCAAGGAACCTCCTGGATTGCTTGTGCCGGGCCATACCGTCCCTCCAACAGATATCAGGGTGGTTGAAGTCCCCCAGGAGGACAAGGGCGTGCGAGCATGAGGCTGTTGCTATTTGTCTATAGAGCACTTCATCCACAGAATCCTTTTGATCAGGCGGTCTCTAACAGGTCCCCACAGTAATGTCTCCTGTAGCTGTTCTCCCTTCAACCCTGACCCACAAACTCCCTGTTGACTGCTCACCTGTCCCCAGACAGAGTTCCATACTTTCCAGCCTATTCCTAACGTAAATAGCAACTCCACTCCCTGTCTGCCAGGCCTGTCTTTTCTAAAGAGCCTGTAACCTTCCATTCCAACACTCCAGTCATAGGAGCCATCCCGCCATGTTTCTGTGATACCTATTATGTCATATCCCTGTAGATGTGCACACATCTCTAATTCCTCTTGCTTGTTCCCCATGCTACAGGCGTTTGTATGGAGGCATCTGAGCCAAGCTGCAAATGAAGCCGGCTCATCGGCTGGAGCGTCTGGAATATCTCTGCATTGCTCCGAGCATTTATTATAGGTGCTGGCAACTGACTGGGTGTGTTGGGATGGAATGATGCCCTCCTCCCCCAGCACATCTAGTTTAAAGCTTTCTTGACCAGCCTGGCAAGCCTCCTACCAAAACCACGCTTCCCCTTCATTGTCAGACCAGCTCCACCAGCCTCCACTAGACCTGGCCTACTAACTTGAATCCCGTGTTCAAGATACCCAAACCCCTGACTAACTGTTCTAACCGCTGTTCTAACCATTTATTAACCTGGCCAATCCGCCTAGCCTTTTTAAGGTCCTCCCCTCTGTCCTGGAGAATTGACTAAAAGACTATCTGAGCTCCAGAGCCCCTAACCACCTCTCCCAGGGCTCTGTACTCCTTCTTTATGTTCTCCAGTCTACTGCTGTCTATTATCACTAGCACCCACATGAATCACTAGAAGTGGGTAACAGTGAGGCTTACTAGAGCAGGCAGCCTCTCTGCAGCACCCCTGATCCGAACCCCTGGTAGGCAGCATGCCTCCCTTGAGGCTGAGTCAGGCCGACAGCTGAATGCTTCTGTTCCCTTCAAAATAGAGTCCCCTACTACTGTGACCACTGCGTTTCCCTGGCAGCACCAGTAGTGATCTTTATCAGTGCATCAGCCGGTTTTTAATGGTGCGAGTGTGTTTCTTTGTTAGCCCCCTGTAGACCTGCAAAGCGATTCTGAGTGGGAACAACAGATATAGGAGGAAGCCACTTGCTTTTAATGGTCCTCTTCCTCCTTTTTTTGTTTGTTTTTTTTTTTTTTTTTTTTTGTTTTTTGTTTTTTGTTTTTTTTTTTTGTCACTATTTCCCAGCTTCCTGGGTTATCAGCTTCCTTTCCTCCACGAAGTACAGGGGACGCTCGAGGCCCCTGCACAGTTTGGGCCTGGAGCAAGCAGTCCTGCTTCCTCTCAGCTTCCCTGACATCTTGTAGCCTATTGACAGTGTCCTGCAGCTCAGTCACCTGCTGCAGGAGGACCTGCACCAGGGCGCACTGAGTGCAGCCTTGCCCATTGTGCACCCTCCCCTCACAAGTCCAGTGCAGGCACTCTCTACACTCTGAGCTCCCATCTCGTCAGCTCTGTCTGGGTGCCTACGCTGGCCACTACCAGGGCAGCCAGAGCAGAGCTCCCAGACCAGGCCCTGGTTATAAGGCGAATGCTCACCATTCCACCCGCCTTCATGCACAAACTGTCCCGTCCCACCCTCACCGCTCGCGCTCCTTGGGGCAGGTTTTTAACCAGTCAGGACTGGTGCTGTCCCTCCTGGCTCTGCCTCCTGTGAGTCAGCTGCTCATGTCAGTTAGCTGCCGGCTCATGGGCAGGTCCTGTCGAGGACTTGAGGCTCCCTTGGTGGCTCTGGCTGCTCTGAGCTCCATGGCTCCTGGACATCTAGCATACCTTGCTTCTGTAAGCTGCAGAGCATACAAAATAGTGCTCTTAACAAGCTACTGTTCTGATGAACAGAGCAGTGATGCTAGCTCCATTGCTTACATGGTTTCTTTATAAAACCCAAAACATTGAATAACCGCAAATTACCTTATGTTGTGTCTTTGCTTTCAGGACCTGGCCATGCCCTTATAGAGCAGTGGAACCCTGTTGGCTTAGTAGGAATTATCACAGCCTTCAACTTCCCTGTAGCAGTTTATGGGTGGAACAGCGCAATTGCAATGATCTGTGGAAATGCTTGCCTCTGGTAAGATACAGGACTCCAGTGTATTAACAGTATTTTAAAATGAGAGGGCAGTTATGTAAGCATGAAATCAAATGTCTGGTGTTTCTGTATATTTGAATCTATTTCATATAGGCTTAATTTCTATATATTTTTAGGTTCACTTGTAGTTAAAGAGCTTTGTTGTATTTTGTGGTAACCTCTTTTATGACGTATTGAGATTCAGACTTGTCCAGGACTTAGCCAGTTTATAAAGAATTGAGGTTTAGGTCTTGCAGCAGTGCAAGTTAGCAAGTAGCAAGCAGTTAATATTTTCAGAATTGATACAGCTAAAATTAAAAGATTAAGTAAGTAGCTTTACTTCACCTCCCAACTCCTTCTTTGCTTTATCTTAATTTTATCTTCATTTTGCTTTCATTCACTAGAATGTCTGGCATAAGTCTTGTTCATGTGGGTATGAGTAGAAGCTCTGAATACTCAGCTGTGGAAATATTTGAGATCCTGTCTTAACACACACCTGCAATTAAGCCTAACCAAAGAGTACTGTATTTCAGATACCATAAAAATTACGTATTTGAATTATTTCTTATTCTCGAAGAATTGAAAAGAAAATAATGTCTTTTTTTTTCTCCTGTTTAGGAAGGGTGCTCCCACAACATCCCTCATTAGTGTTGCTGTTACAAAGTGAGCTCAGGTTTATTTGCTTTCTGTTTTGCTTTTTAAACATCTTTTGTGTTCGAGGTAGTGCTTAGTGGTCAGAAGAACCGCTTTGCCCTTGTCACTTAAGAAACAGTGGTATATATGGGATGTTACCTGTACTGCTGGCCAATTTCTTCTATGACCAAGGTCTGTACTTCTGCTGAAGTAGGGGTAGTTATGTGGTTTGCTTCCTTGCAGAAGATGACTTGCTCATAAAATTCAGCTTCCTTTGATCATGCACTGATGTTTCAGAATAAGCCCTTTTTTTGTGAGTCTCAGCCCAACATCAGCACCAGCTTCTTGGCAAATACTTCTGGTGGTTGTGTAGACCTATATCCTGAAGATGCCTTAACGTGATTTGTATTATGCAAACCTTGTAACATTTTAGCATGCATTTCCAGGGTTCGAAACTCATTCTTTATAAAAGGGAGAAGAACCCCAAAGAATAAATCTCTAGTGATGTTTGCTCTATGCTTATTGTTACTTTGCTTGTTATATTAGCATTTTAAATACTTATCCATTATGTGCTAAAATAGCATTTATTTTTAAATGCTAAATATAAATAGTCCCCTTTAAAATAATTATTAAGTCTTGTAGCTTTAATATTAACCCCTGGGAACAATGGCCTGAAATTACTTTAAAGTATTTTATGTAGCTTCATGAAGGTACATAAATGTCTCTTTCTGATGGTGAAAGACTGTATGGCCAAGGTTTTTACATGCTTACCTAATGCTTGTGTGTGCTGGTTGTGTGGACACATAATAAATATATTTTAGAGTTTTACTTTGCTGTGAGCTATGATTGTAACACAGAACTTCTTGCTAAGACTTACGTATTGTACAAACTACATGTCAGTTAACTGCAAGACTCCTGCTTTTTAAAAATCTGTAGATTCTTCATATGTATGAAGAATGGTTTTAATAGTGCATTCCTATTATATGCACTTCTCAGAGATCTCTGAAATTTCTATATCTTCGATTCTAGAATAATTGCCAAAGTCTTGGAGGATAACAAAGTGCCTGGAGCTATCTGTTCTCTGGTTTGTGGTGGAGCAGACATTGGGTAGGTAACATTTGTAGTGTTTTGTGAAGATGTATACAGGGTAAAGAATATTCTTTGAGGTACTTCTTGTAAAGTTTTTCTTATCTCCAGGAGTTCCTAGGACATGCACGTACCTGTTACCATCATTTTTATCTGGTTCAAAACTCTGACCGTGCTATAAGCATATTATGTACTTCTACTTGCTGTTGTGAGATCAGTGGCTAATAAATAACTTATCAGGTACTTATTGAAGAGATACAGCTGAGTTTATATTCTACTTCCAAATGTTCTTACACCCAAAGAATGCAGCTAATATTAAATTCCATTCATAGTGTTCTTAGGAGTTTTCAAGTTTAGCGCATTAGCCTCTTGGAGCACTTGTGGATACTTCTTCTTTTTCCATGCTCACACAGGACTCTGCACTTTCTCATAGAAGCTTACTTGTGCTTGGAAGCTGTACAAATCAAATTGTTTTGTTTGCTTATTACAATAAGACAATTCACAGTACAAATGGATATTCAGATGTATATTTTGAGCATTTCAGGAGAAGAAAAAACATGGTAAGAAATAGGTATGCATGTTTTCTTAGGGAACATAACTATTGGAACTGATCTGACTATGTACTTTAGATTGAATTTCAAAGTTAGTACAGGAGATGATTTTGTTGTCTGAAAAGGAGGAGGGAAACAGCCTTGTTCCTCTTTTCTGATGAAGAAGCAGCTTTGCTGCTGTCTGTTCACTCACTCACACGGTGTTTTCAAAGAAGTTGCTATGATTTTCAAAGATCTCAGTGGTTGAAGTTGGTTTATGTGGAAGATGCAAGGAGGTTTTCCAGCTGTTCCATTGAACATGGTAGTATGTCTCCCATTGTGCAGGACAGCAATGGCAAAGGATGAGAGAATGGACCTGTTGTCCTTCACTGGCAGCACGAAAGTGGGCAAGCAGGTAGCGCTTATGGTTCAGGAGAGATTTGGTGAGTGTGTGGTATCTCTGTTTCTTTCCATGATTGGGAAAGGCAGGGAAGCCCTGTAAGATTTATATAAATAACAGCTTGTTTCACTTACCTGTTGTGTTACTTTAATTTTTAACTTGGTGGAAGTAGGGTATTGAAACTGCTCAGAGGTAGATACTGTTTTTTTTTTCAGTCAGTTCTGTCACAACTTGACTTTTTCCCCAGAGTATCCACAAATCCGTGGTCCTAAACTGGATCTGGGGTGTGGCAGGGGAGGTGGTGTCCATGAAAATAACTGTGGAGATTTGCCAGGGCCTATGGCCTTTTGGTAATGTGTTTGTGGAGAAACGCCCTTTCATCTTTTACTCCTTATAGATGCAGGAGAAAAGGTATGATTTTTGAGGTGCTGGTTTTGTTGCAGATATTTAAATGCGGGAGTCCATGCAGAGCTGCTGAATTCTAAATTTTTAGTATTAAACAGAAAACCTTGAGAGCAAGATTTTCTCATTTTACATGTTTGAAGTTCATAGATGGAATGTAAAAATAAAAAAAAGAAACCAAAAAATGGATTGCAAATGTTCACCCAAAAGTAAATGGCATTTCTTTCTCTCAGATTTGAGGTAAAACTGTTAACAAATAAGCCTCATTAAGTTTTATGTGAGCATTTTGATCCTTATAGCACCTGCTCTTCTTCTTTGTCTGCATCATACTATTTATGCCGCACCTTCTTCTATTTTCATCTTTTTCTTTCCAGTGCTATTTTTGTCTATTTTTTAAGTTTCCTTCTGCCATAACTGCTGTCCAGGTATCTTTCTTCACAATATGTGATAGATTTAAGGTAATTTTCTGCTTTGGCTAGAGTGATTAGTTGACTGAGATGCCTAAAACTTTTTGTCTATCCAGGAAAATGTGTTTAATGGTAACTTGGCTCTAGGTAGAAGTGACCTCACTCAGTGAGGTGTGGTAAATACATGTGTGTATGCCATAACTTGTCTTGTTTTTATTAGGTCGAAGTCTGCTGGAACTGGGAGGAAACAATGCCATTATTGGTAATAGGCACTAAAGAAATCTAGTCACATAGATGATACTTGGAAGTTCGTATGCAGATGTTTGTAGAAAGTTGTCCCTTTTTCCCTCTTCTTTTTTCCACACTGGGTTTTAAAAAGTATGTAGTGGAATGTTTGGTTTTTTTTCTCTCTTCAGTGTTGTGGAGGGGTAGTGTTTTAAGTTTAAAAATGAAAGTTTAAGCTCTTACATGTTCACTGTTGAAGAAGAGAATGAGAAAAGCAGTAAGCTTCAGTAATGAGATGTGGACAATGCTAAATAATCTTGATTTTAGGATAGTTATAATTTTATGAATACATTTTTAGAATTTTATAATATAAGTACATACATACAGAGTCTTAAGAGGTGGTACTGAAAAGCAAAGCATGCAGGTATTTATTTTAGTAGCACATTTTACAGGTTTAAGTAGCTTAGGGTATGATATAGTTCTCAGATAAATATAACATAGATACTGTGATGCTGAACAATATGACAGAAAGAAAATATAAGCTATACAAATACCTAAATTGCTGTTGTGCTGTTTTGGAGCCTTCTGTTTCACCTTTCTCATATTCTAAACAAATGTAATTGGCTATCTAGAATATTAAGCTCTTTTAAAAATCACATTTGAGCAGGTCTTTCTTTTTTCCTATGCTGCTTTGAAGCTAGTAGCATAAACATGCTTTGTAGTTAGGAAATTATTTCCTTTTTCACATGAAAGTCCTGCTTTTTCTGGAATTGACTTAGAATGATGGCATAAAAAGTTTGTTTGGGCTTCGCTGCAAGTTTAATAATTATTTTGGACACTTAGAGAATTATGTAGGACTGGTGAAGCTGAGTGATATTTCAGGGATCTAATGAGGCTTATACATACTAGCTCTGCTTCAAACATCCCAGTGTCTTCTAGCCAGATGAATTGTTAAGCTCATTTATATTTTACATTACTGTATACCTGTGTGTTAGCTACTTTTTCTGCATGCCATGTGGATACACTTTGCCATTGTTTCTTTACACTGCTAGACTTCTCAGTGGGGGAAGGACAAGGTGAAGAGATGGCAAGAAATTGCTTGTAGTTTCTTGAATTAAATTGAAGCTGCAGTTCTTTGCAAGCCTTATTGCAAAAGGCTTTCTTCAGTAGTTCATCTCTACATTTATTTTCAATTGTGTGTGTCTAATTCCAGGTGTAAAAGTAATGTGTTTTGAGGTATTTCTGTATATCTTAGGGTGCTACGTTAGTGCGATTATTCCTAATGCTACTTGACCAGTATGTCAGTTTATTATATTGTCTAGTGTCTTAAATATTGCAAACTGCCTGTTTATTTCACTAACATGCTGATATTTTAAACTTTGTAAGTGTTTGAAGATGCAGATCTGAACCTGGTCATCCCATCTGCTCTGTTTGCTGCTGTGGGAACAGCGGGTCAGAGGTGCACAACTGCTAGAAGGCTGGTGAGTAAATGTGTATTGTCTGGCTTGGGTAGCTCTGAGTTTAAAGTTAATTCAAATTAGCTCAGAAAATGCCTAACAATTCCTGATTTTATGGAGAGCAGCAAATAATCTCTGAAGCATATTTTTACTTTGTCAAAAATCAGTATGATGGGAAAATAAGATGGTAGTTTGTCATTCCACTATAATTCTCTCTCTTTTCTTTGTGTTTCCAAATGTACCTGTTGCTAAAATGCAGGAAAAGAAACCTTTCTATACTTCTGTATTTCTCTGTTTTGATTGCCAGAGCTTCTTTACATGTGTCTCCAGCAAATTTTGGTTCAGGGTTTAGATCTCAGCAAAGCAACTCTATGTGTGCTGTTTACATTATTGCTAATTTTTAACCAGTCATTTTCAACAAGTTTAAAGATATTACAGTGTCAGCCTATGTCTAGTTTTTTCAGAGTTGCGTTGATTGGGTAAATATTTGTCAAAATTGATGCAGATTAGCTTTGGGTCTATAAGAAGGGCAGTTATTCCTCAAATTGTGGCAGTAAAAATGACTTGAGTATTTGTCCTGAAATTCTTAACTGAAGAGTTTACAGAACACTTTAATACCATTGATCTGATATCTTGTAAAATGAGAACAGGTTTTTGTTTCTTTGCTTGTTTGCTATCTTCATGCTGAAGCTTTTGAATCTTCATGTCATGGTGTTGGTCCTGTTTCGAGGCCTTGCTTATGTGTTTATTTTTAACTTTGGGATTTGCTGCATGTGAGCAACACTATCTCCACACTTCATTCAGCCATCTTCTAAGTGCAGTAGTACTTCAGGAATAGTTACATAGGTTGAGCTGTCTTACAACCATCTTACCACATTTTGTTTAGTTCCTCCATGAAAGCATCCATGAAGATGTGGTGACAAAGCTTGCTAAGGCCTATGCCCAGGTCCGCATTGGTGATCCGTGGGATTGTAAGTAGCTATTTTTGCATCATGGGTTTAGGATACAAGTTTCTGTTTGTTTCTTTCTAATTAAATTACCTGAGATTATAGATCAAAGCTATCTAATTTTGGCAGTTTGTCAGGTAAGGGGGATAGCTGGTTTCATTTAGAGTACTAACTCTGAAATGGAGATGAGAATTTAGCTTAATACTGTTTATCTTGGACAGGAGAAATAATTACTCCCAGATGTCATTATACACACTTGCAGTTATGCTGAAAGTATGTCTTTATATCTTTTGTGTTTTAGCTGACACTCTGTATGGGCCTCTTCATACCAAAGAAGCAGTGAAAATGTTCCTTGATGCAATAGAACAAGCGAAACAACAGGGTGGCTCTGTGGTTTATGGTGGAAAGGTGACTTACTTTTATTCTGCTGCATTTAGTGCTCTAGGGGAAAAAAAAAACAGTTATGTTGTGGCTTTGGCTGAGATTGTCTCTCAGTTTGTCCTGTCAGCCATTGCAGAATGTTGTTAGTCAGTCTGAGAATGTTTGAATTGCGGTCTTGTCTTTAGGGTAAAGATAGGTCTACTTGGAAGCTACTTTCTCCTCTCAGACATGGCTAAAAGCTTTTGGCTTTTAGCTCCCTAGTTGCAGGAGATAGTGAAAATACAGCAATAAAAATGGAGAGTACCAAACATACAACAAGGAAAAAAATTCTCTTCTGCCCTTGGATTCACAACATAAAACTTCAGGAAATGGTGAAGATTCAGGAAAACCAGTTGCATGTCCTTATCATATAGGATGTTTCATTATCATGGACTTAGCATTCTGGGAATTGTTGTCTTTTACTGGCACCTTCTTTATTCTTAGTATCTAAGTTCAAATCAGCTTACTAATCAACTTGCAAGCAGAAGAAAGGAAGTGTTTTTTGTCAGCTGCTAGACTTTGAGATTTGATTGTTTCTTTAGTAGACTAAGTTATGCTTCTGTATTTTAAATACTTAAAGGAAATGCTTAAGTAAAATTTAATTTATCTACTCAGATGATCTAACCTTCTGTTTCTGATTGCTAGGCACAACTATAGTAATCAGACTGCGAAGGATCCCCTTCCTACACTAGTACTAAGCAGGATGCTAGTTTGAATTTACTAAGTTGTTTTCTCTTTTATGTGTTTTGAAGGTTATAAATCGCTCTGGAAATTATGTTGAACCAACCATTGTGACTGGCCTTCCTCATAATGCACCCATTGTCCACACTGAGACATTTGCCCCCATACTGTATGTGCTGAAATTTAAGGTAAAATTACAGTGGGCAGTTAGTCAGGTGTCAAGGATGCTAACAGAAGACTCAGGAGAGAGGTTTCAGATGTATGACATGTTCATGTTTTTGTCCCAGCTCTTGAAGAAGTGTTACATTGAGGAAGTGTTGTTCTGCACTGTAGGATATTCACTGTAATAGCTTACCTCACTGTGTGAGGTAAATGTGTAGCTACTTTTACGCATTTTTGGTGAAGAGCACTGGAGTTAAGATGAGAATCTGTACAGGAAGAGATTTTTATTGCTCATGTCAACTTGCTCAAAAGCTGGTTGTGTGTTTTGTGCAGTGGTGGAGGTATCCTATAGCTGACTTGGTGCACGTATATTTGCCAAGTGGCATTCCATATATTTGCATTATGGCTGTAGTACATTGAGTTTTTTCTCACAGTGTTTCTTTGTAACTGCTTTGCTTTCAATGATCATGGTTTAACCATTGACACATGCTCCTTTTAGGAGGAAGAGGAAGTTTTTGCCTGGAATAATGAAGTAAAACAAGGTCTTTCCAGCAGTATCTTTACCAGAGATTTGGGAAGGATTTTCCGCTGGCTTGGGTATAGTTTAAATTATTTTTCACCCTTCCTGAAGCATAAGACCACAGTCTCTCATGTCTTTTGTAAACCTATGCACAATACTAGTTGAGCATTTTATATCTCTCAATTTAGGGAAGCAGCCTTTCCTGATCCTGAGGAATAACTGTGTCTTACCTTTGTTTGCAGACCAAAAGGATCTGACTGTGGCATTGTGAATGTCAACATCCCAACCAGTGGAGCTGAGATTGGAGGTGCTTTTGGTATGTTACTTATGCTTTTTTATTTACCCTCTTGATGATGAAGTGCTCAGCATCAGTTCTAGAGACTTGGTGGTATTCTTTGGGCTTTTTCTTTTTTTTATTTATGTATTTTTTTAAAGTTGGGGTGATTTTATGGTTTTCTAACAACTCTGGAAGAAAATAAAGCATTAACACTATAAAACAAGTGCAATTTAGATCTCCTCATCTTGTTTTTCAGTGTTTTAATCAGTCCATTTAAATCACTAAATCCAAAGAAATCAGTTAATTTTTAATTATATTGCTTTAGTAGAAACCAGAAATTGACTACAGATAGTTGCATTTCAGCATTTAAAAATATCTGTATTTTGATTTTAAATATTGCATATATCATCCCCTCCAAACCATCAAGGGAATGTAACTCAGAAGTATGTTCTGAATGTGTTTGGAGATGTGGCTGAGTGGAAAACTGTTTAAAAGACTTTTAATTAAAACAGTCATGAGCATTTTTAGTTTGTATGTTTGCATATAAAATTACAGCATGAAATATATTTGTGAGAAAGTTTTTGAATACATTTTTGTCCATATTTCTCTTTTTTGTTTATACTAAAGGAAGGTGGGGCATGTGAAGAAGTATTCGCCTTACAATTTAAACAGTACAATACAAGAATCATGGTCTTGTACTCTTGTCTCATGTTGAAATATCTTTAAATAAGGTCCTGTGGTGCCAGCGTGATGAGACTTTCTACTCCAGGCAGATATTTTTTGGATTAAGCATAAGGAAAGAGTTAGCTGTGTGTTGTGATGTTCTGGTAATTTATTTCAGATACAGAACAAGGGCAAAGGAATAGTTTTTCCCAGGAATTTTTATAAAATGTCTCACCACCTGGAGTCAGTCTAGATTCCTATGCTCAAAAAAATTTCAAGTTTTCATTTACAACTTTTTTCCTACAGGTGGTGAAAAGCACACTGGTGGGGGAAGAGAATCTGGAAGTGATTCATGGAAACTTTATATGAGACGATCTACTTGGTAAAACTGACTTTTAAAATTCAAAGTAAATGTAAATTGCAAATAAACTTGCAAAAGTTCAAAACATATAAATCCTTTACTATAGGAGGTTATCTTCATTAAATGTGAGGTAACAGTGAGTGTAACTGCCTTTTCTTCATGCAAGAATTCACGTCTGTGTTCCGAGTGGAAGGTTATTTGAAGAGTCTAAATAAAGACCTATCTTCACTCACTGTTCCTCAAAAATTAAAAAAAAACAAAAAAACCCAACTTTTTTGATTTTAAACTTGGCTAAAATATAAATTGCTGAAAGTTGTCCGGAAATACATGAAGTAGCAAACAGTGTGGGGGCCACTATTGCCAGTGGTTGGCAATTTAGCTACATGTTGGGTGTCTATCCTGATAAATCTCCTGACACCCTGTAGTGGGTGACCATTCGTGCTCTCTGCTGGCCTCCCTAACCTTTACCTGTGCTGACTTTGTTTTCACACAAAGGCTTATGAATGTGATAAATCCCACCTTGATTCTTTCTGTATGGACATTCTCCTAGTAAGAGATTAAATAGTGTTACTTTAATCTACCAAGGAAGAGGTAATGGGGAATGTGATCTTTCCCTATACATAGTTACTATATAGAAAACCAGACTAGTCAGTTCATAACTTTAAAGAGGCAAACTGCTTATAGAAATCTTTTGTATACAAGTGACAGAAATAAGAATCCTTGTACGCAGGAAACAGATTACATAATCTGTCTCAGTGACTGAGTCTGTTCTCTAAATACTTGTTTCTCTTCCAGTACAATCAACTACAGCAAGGATTTACCTTTGGCTCAAGGAATCAAGTTTCAGTGACAGCCTGGTGAATGGCCATGCCATGAAGTCACCTAGCATTTCAGAACCAAGCACCTTCTAAGCCTCATGAGGAAGAAAATTAATTATGTGGAACTTACCTGCAGCAAAGATACCAATTCTGTCAAAAAATCAGCTACTCTAAAATTACTTCAGTTTCAATATATAAAATTACTGCTTTGGTCTTCGTATGAAAAGTATGTGGTCTTTGGGAAGAAGGGAGGGTTACAAAAACTAACAAACTTGGATTCAGATGGCCTGGATAATCTGTAGCCTTATTACTACATTTCAGTATCAACACTATCTCCTGCCTCCCCACTGTTCACTGATATTTCCAGCTAGTAGATTTATGCTTTGAATTATGCGCTTTGTGTAGATAACTGGTGCTGTGGAGGGTGGGTGATACAGGGCTATTTTTAAAAAGTAAATAAAGGTACATTTTGTGAGATACCTTGCACTTCTAGGGTTTTTTTGTTCATTATTTTGGAGCAGAAACATTCAGGACATGACTGTCCATCTTCACAAACTTTGAGCTGCTAGCTGGGAGAAATGTCACTAGGCTAAAAGGACCACTTCAGTTTTCCTGCCTCCCCTTCAGAAAGAAGACTTTGACCCTGTGTGTTGGGAGGTAAGAGGTAAGACAAAGGCTACTGTACTCTCCTGGAGTTTCCTTGTGAGACTAGAAGGAGTCAGTTCGGGTTGTCACAAAACTTGTGGCACTCTACAGCCGAACTGGCTGAAGAACTGGAGATGCAGCCAGGAGGGAAAACTCTCCTAGAAGGAATTTGCCTGGGAAATGCCAATTATTTACGTGTTTTCACATTAGGAGCGGATATCCCATGGCCACGGAAGACTACAGCCATCAGCAGCTGATTCAGCCTTGCTCAGAATCCAGGATGAGAAAAGGAATGGTGCTGTGAGGCTGATTTTAGCTTTCCACAGAGTAACTTCTGAGATTTTTAATGTATCATTTTTTGAGGAAACATCTTTTTCTTCCACTATTATGTACCATTTTTCCACAATGAGCATGGCAGGACTGTTCATCTGGGGCTCAGATTCTAGGACTCTGTTTCAGTTTCTTACTTATTTTTGATGCTAAGGTCATGTCATCCAAATTGTTCTAAAAGTCCAGCATACCACAGTGCTGGCTGGTCTTTCACCTTAATATCTAGTTTTAAAATACGTAGTGTTTTGAATTTTACATCTATATTATAGAAGATATTTTGGGTGTCACCTTCTGTAGAGCAAATGGTAGGCAGTCAAAGCTTTTTTTACTGAGTCTCTTAAAGTCATGTGAACTCTCTCCCATAGTTCTTTGTCTTTCGTCGCTTAACTAGAAAACAGATTTCATGAAAGAGTGTTGTGTATTAGCACACAGAAAGAGCTTATAACCTCTTAAGCAGACAAATCATTAACAGAGGGCAAAGAAACAATCAAATTTCCAAGTTTAATTATTCTGAAAATTGCACAAGTTACAGAAGCTGTATTCTTTAACATTGTTATGTAGCCAGTGAGTGCTACTATGAAATTCTCAATAATGAAAACTTCAGGAAGGCTCCTCTTCTTGCTCCTTGTTAGTTTTTGGATATCCTCATTATGTCACATCTGCTGCTTGAGAAAATAAAGACCTTTTTACTCTTCTTGGATAAAATAATTTTACAATCCCAGTGTTTTAATTTGCAGTCATAGGGTTAATTCTCCCATTGGCTTAAGATATGTGAACTCAGGCCATGGAACGGAACAGAAATGGGATGGTGGGTGAGAGAAGGAAACACAGAATGAAATGTAATCTTTTGTAAATAAATAAATTCAGTCCTAAATAACATTAAGTTTGATGGTTTTTTAACAATAGCAATGGAAAGTAACTTAGGCAAGTGTTTCGTACAGACTAGTCAGAATGCAGCCAAAGAACATAATGAGAATCCTTGCATAAGGTAAATTGTTGTAGTTGGTGTAGTTTTAGGCCTTTATAACCTTAGTACAAAAATAATTGGAAGAAACAGGATGTGTAGATAAAGAGTATTTGAAGCTAGCAGATGTCCAGGATGTGCTGTGGCTAAGCTAACTGGTAAGTAGAAGGACAGGATGAAATCATTCACTTATGTCTGTGGTGTTACCAAACCAATTAAGCTGGTGTAAGCATTTATCTACTGTGCATGCTTCGAAGTTTGCCAGAACAAGAGTTCCAGAAGCAGCTAAGTGATGAAGATTGTTGGAAGAAGTAAATGACCCCCAAAGACCACTACCAAGTTGCTGTGCACATGTGGAAATGGGTGTAGAATTATGTAAAGCAGTTCTCAGATGGTTAATGAATATATATGACTTTTAATGAATATGTATGTTAAGCAGCAATATAACCACAGTCTTGAGGTTTGGCAGAGACAGGCTAGGAGGAGCTATCTCCTGTCTCTCCCAGTGCTGCAATAAAGAACACCTGCTTGTCAACTTTGTTGTTGAGTTCTGAGCGAGTTCTACGAATCAAGAGTCTGATGCTTGACTGGTCTTGAAATCACTATCTGAACAGGAGTATGAATAAAAAATGTAGTATGTAATCAAAAAGAGGTGACTATTACACACCAAACCTTTTTTTTAAAGGTTAATGCATTTTGATACATAATTCTTACTTCAACACAAACTGTTGAGTAGTCTTACAGAGGATTCAGCTTGAAATACTTGTATAACTACCTCTATATATTATGTGTAAGTGTATTAGATCCTCTTTATGTAGGCAAGTAATAGTTTCTCTCTGTAAGTAGATTACAAATTCATCCTGATGTTTGCTGAGTATATGTATTGCTGTTACAAACATTGTGTTATCTACATTGCCATTGGACTGCTGCTATGGTATTAAAACAGGTAATGGCAATGGTTCATCTGCTTCCCAGACAGCTTTGAATTCCTTAGATGATATTTGCAATTTACTTCTCTCCACCCTTGTACCTTTTGTTGAAGAATCCTACCTGAGCTGACTGGATCAATGGCTTTCAGTGAAGCGGCTCTGGGAAGAAGGCCTTTTAAAGACAGCTGAACACTGCAATAGGTTTTCGTAAGGATTTAGGTACCTATAAGCAATTATGAGTAAATATTGGAGGCTTAGAGGTACTGTAAGACCCTGTTTCTCAATTTCTGCTTTAATTTGAAAAGTCCACTCAAGAGATTGTAAACTACATTAGCTGTCATTGGGTTATCTCACCCTAGGAAAGCAATTTGAGAGTTCATAAAACGTGCTGGAACTACTGGTATGTGCAGTGTAACGGAATTTGCAATTTTCATGCACATTCTATCAGTGGCTTCCACAGTTGCATAAACTTAATTACCACCGAGTGTGTAACACCAGTGAGTAACAAGTGTTAAATGACACATGATCAATAATTCACTTGTTAGCAGAGTATTGCTTACTGTGAAATGAGCTTGATGGGAAGTCTTGCAAGTAACTTCCTTTCTTTTTTCCTTATTACTAACTGAAGGAAAATGCAAATTCCTCTAATGGCATTTTTACTGATAAACTAACAGAACAATTGCTTTCTAATGAATGACAAAAAAATCAAGCCTGCAGGCTGTGAGCCACAGACAGCTCCTTTCTGTTTCATCCTATCACAGTTTCTAAAAGCAAGTTTGGGAACTGTTTTCAGGAACCAGGAATGCTACTCACCAATAATGGTCTAAACTTGGGTTTTTGCAAATAACTGCCCCGCAGTGCTGATATTAAAACAACTGGGAAAGTGCAGTTATCTTTCAGTACTAACAGACCAACCCATTTGTATTATATAATGGTGTTTTCTCGTGGCATTTCCATTGCTCAGTTCTGTGTGTGGTTGATAGATGGTTCAAAACCATGGGCTACCAGAATGCTTTATTTGTGGCACTTACGTTTCTGTGTGAGATATTACATATATAGCTGCTGCATTCAAGACTCATTAGGTACAAATTCATTCAAGTCTCTTCATTAATCTCAACAGGAGCTATGTAAAAAAAAAAAAAGTGTAAATTACAGGAGCCCTCCTTGCCTGGATTGTCTTCTGAATTCTATGGCCACGTTGGTGTTGGGCCTGTATTGCACAACAGTATACTCTTAATTTCCAATGTAGAAGAGGACAAAAATGTTTGTCTTATATGTAGGTAAAATGACTTAATTGCCTAGAATTAAATTATTGAGTAAAATTAATGACTTGAAAAGGTCTTTTTTAATCTCTTGTGTTTGGTATTCTGAAGTGTGTATTGCTTGATCAGCAAAACATGCTGTCGTTTGCTATGACTAGTGTTTGAAAACTAATAGATTGTTTGCATTCAGTTGTTTGCAAATTTCTCCTGCCACTAAAGTATGCAAATTTCTCCTGCCACTAAAGTACTTCCTTTCAAGCAGTGAAAAGTGTTTCATCTAACCTTGCATTTTGAACATGGTTGCCTGACGGTACCTGTCACGGATTAAGTCTTGCGCTTCCCTCATAAAAGAAAAGCAACATCATTGATACAGCAAAGTTCAAAGGTGAATATGACAGTGGTTTAACAAGATCCAGTGACAAGGTAAATTTTATTGTTTACTCTGTATAGGATGGGGTCAGACAGAACTGTCAGGGAAGCCTTCCCATTGATGTTCATGGGAATCATGATGTTCAGGAAGGACCCCCTTGCTTCCTAAATCTCAGAGAGGGGTCCAGGTGCAGCTCCACCCACCCCTAGGCCCAGACTTGGGCAATGGTTTATGTCTAAAGGATTATATATGCACAGCACCTTATATTAGCTAAGATTTCAAAGTTTAGCATGCTGTTAATCACTTACCAATGATGTGTTGTAGCCAGGAATCTCTCAACCTTGAGGAATAACTTTGGAAGATGTCCCTACTCAAGGGGAGAGCGCATCTAACTGCCTTGCAGGAGAGTTCACCCGGGCTTGGACCTGGGCTCTCCAGTACTTCTAGAGCAAGATGATTGATTTACAGTCGTGTTTGCATACCAGCAGGAGGTCTGGGGCAGCATTCCAGATAGCTCTTGGCTGCCATGTAGCCATCTGTTTCCCGAAGTCCAGAGTGATCTGGATGCAGTCGTTAAAACCCCCACTTGTGGTTATGGCTTAAGTAGTGGGGGACCACACTGCCACAGGTACATACTTGTTCACAGCCTCTCTCTTCTGCTAATTAATTAGCTTCGATTCTCCATACAGCTCATTGCTTTTCTCCAGATAGTAGGGAAACTCTTCTGCATTTTGAGACAGGGACTTGCACGGGAAGGTGGGACATAGCTGTTTTTTTTAATCATTCTGTTCCTGCCGGTGTCGCTGTTGATCAGGCTGAAGCCTGCTGAGTCTTTCGTTCGCCAGCTGCTTGGATAAAAACAAACCTTCATCCGAATGTCTTTGGTATTCCGGCACATCTGGAAACACTGCTTCCGAGCTGGTAATTAAATACACTTTATTCTGCAAAAGCCTCAGCTGACTGGTGTTATTCTTACA